TTATGGAACTATTCCAAGATAAACTTAATTTGTGAATGAAAGGGAAGCTAGGGGGAAGTTCTTTACAAGGAGAGTAGTTAGGCCCTGGAACGGGCTGCCCAGGGAGGTTGTGGATGCCCCGTCCTTGGACGTGTTCAAGGCCAGGTTGGACGGGGTCCTGGGCAACCTGATCTGAATGTGTACGTTTGGTGGCCCTGCTAGGCAGGGGGGTTGGAACTACATGATCCTTGAGGTCCCTTCCAACCCAGGTGATTCTGTGATTCTGTGAAATTTTTTTAAATGTCATTCTAATATTTACTGCAGTATGTGTACTTACCATTGTCAGAGTGTTTATAGCATGGATGTCCAACCTTTTGGCTTGGATGGGCAACATCTACAGCAGTTGCTCCAAAAGTAATGCTGCAGAATGGGCTGGGCCAGGCTGCCTGTGGGCTGCAGATTGGAAATGGCTGGTTTATAGTATGGAGGAAGGAGCATCCTAAAAGCGAGTACAGTGATTTATAAGTCATTGCAAGCTGACACCACTGAAAGCTGAAGCCCTTCATCTCTAGAGGAGCTGCAGCTTTGGCAGTAGCTGCCAGACTGTCCCAAGACTGGGCCTCAGCATGACCCATCTTAGAAGTGTTGCCTCGAAGGAGAGGCAGTGACTGCCAAATCTCCTTCAGCATTCTATTCTGCACTTCGGAGACTGTGTGGGAAGGTAACAGATAGTAATGCATGTTAAACTAATTCAAAATTCACTTATTCATAGGCACTGGGCTGATGATGCTCATTTCATATTGATTTGTGAAATCAAACTCTCTAACCCACGGAAGGTTAAAAGAGCAGATACATCTTTATTTCAGCGTTGTGCCACACGCTGGGTGCAAGGAGGATCGCTCCTCCTAGCTTGCACACCAGAGAGTGAGGTCTCGATACATTCATTAGCCAAGCCGTCCATATTCAGTAGTATTACCCAAAACTCATTGACATATTCATTACTTTTCCGGGAATTCATTTACATACTGTCCCCTCTCCCCAGGGCATGCACTGTAGCTTCCATTGGATGAAGGCTCGACGTCTTCCTCCCCATTTGGTGGTTGGTGGTCGTTTGGGATGAAGTCAGTTGTCTGCCTCACCACGTCCTTCCGACCTTTGTCCCAGTTCTGGGCTCTTCTCTTGCCCTGCATGCCTCAGCAATTTCCTATTCTGCTTATCTTCCCTTTTTTCGTTGCTCTCTTAGGGGCCCTTCTTCCACTGTCTAGAGAGGGCTCCCTTTTTAGAATATGCCTGGGCTGACAAACGGTTAGACTAAGCAATAAGTTTCTCTTGAGTTAGCAAAAGGTTAAACTAAGCGATGCTATTTGCAACCTCTTTTGAGTTAGCATAACCAGGTGATGTTATGGACCCCTTACATCTTGTATTCTTCAGCTTACTATCTCAATATGGGACAATCATATGATGTTAATGACTTTAAACTGCAGCAGCACTCCTGGTTGCCTGCTGTACCAGACAGCTCTCTGCTTCTGCCATCTCAGCCATCCCGTCCCTGATGCTGGCTTGCCTGAGCTTTACCCACAGCTCCAAATTTTTACCCCATAGTCTTTATCCATTGCTTAGATATCAAAGCAGCTGTTTCCTTCAAGAAGCAATTAATCACAGCAGTGTTTGTGTTTGGAATTCAGCTAGTACAAGCAGAAGGACAGTTCTCTTCTGCTGCGGCTGTCTGGGGGGCAGCCAGCTGTTCAGTGTGACCTGAAGTTCCACAGTATGGGATTGTTTCAGACAGGTGAGGGATCATCTTAGCTGATGCCATTTAGCAGCTCACTGCCTAAACTCTACCCATCTTGATGTTTGTGTGCTAGTGCAGGGGAAATACAGACAATTTATGCATGAAGAGATCAAGTGGCTTTTATGTTGAAAGAAAGTGTATTGGAACAAGAAAATGCACGGCCTCACCAGAGGAACAAGAATAGCAAGTTCAAGGATTTAAAAGATGTGTTAATGAGTGTGTAGATAATGAGTGAAGTTCTAACTCTGAAGCCAATGGAAAACATTCGTTGACCTAAGTGAAGCCAGGATGTTGCCCAAGGTCTCTGCATAGCATTGAGGATAACTGTGTCATCAGAAAGAAAAAAAAAGACAGACACTTACAATATTGGTAGATTCCAGACTTCTTTTTTTTTTTTTTTCCTCTTTGATACCACTGTAACTGTGTTTTCTTTTCAACATGCTGTAGTATTTCAACTATTTCTCGTGTTCGTTGTTTTTATAATAGAAAAAATCAAAACTTTTACCCAAAGGCCACAGCGCTCGTGGGCAATTCTACTTAATTAGTTTGTGTGTGTAAGAGCAAGTGCTCTTTTGCTAAAAGAATTTCATTTTCAAGCTTCTAAGGAGGTATAGTAAATGTTTCTTAAAAGATACACTTCATCTTAACCCTGTTAATGTTTAAGAATATGTCTAACTTTCTCCTCTTGATGGAATAAAAGAACAGTCAAGCCCCGTAATGCTGATGAGATGACTGCAATTCTGATGGCAAGAAGCAGCAAGTTATATTGCCTTGTTTTTCATTCATACTGCTCTTACTGACAGCAGAGGTATTGGCAGAACTCTTATTTTTCTTCTGGCTCCGCTGTTTCACAGATGGGAAACCACTGCTGTAATAAAGAAGTGCTCAGTAGTTTCTATCAGAACATTATTTAATACTACATTATTTAATTCTAACATAGACAGTGGCACAGCAAAGAAAACACAACTAGCTACAGTTGATGATAAGCTTTCCTAAATACTTGCACAGTTGAATTCTGTATAAATTTAGTTGGAACAGACTGTTTTTGCAATCCATCTGCTGTATCAGTATGATTGCTGCAAGTAGTAGGAAGTAGTATGTTGGGTTAATGTGGCTGCACCATTTCTGTGCCACAAGCTCCAGCACTGCTGCTTCAGGGGTTCCCAGGGCTGGCCCAGAGTTTTGAAGAAAGTGTGCTCAGAGCCTGGTTCCTCAGTAAGAAGGCCAAATTTTAAACAAAACAAAGCACAAAACACTCTCAGCAGCTGCTGCTAACTTCCATTCTTTCACTTCCTCATCCTCAAGGGCTGTGAAACCATCGCTCAGTGTAACAAATGGCCTTTGCAGATGGCCAGCGCCTTTGAAAAGCAGATCTCAGAGTCCCTTACAAAATTCCCTTTCCTTTCATCACTGTGTGCTCAGGCTACTGCTGGTTTTATGCTTTTAGATAGCTCTTGCCTTCTCTCCTGTGAGCATTATCACCCTGCTCAAATCATCTGCCTGCTATGCTGCTTCTGGCTCTTGGGGCATTAGACAAATGAGGTTGATACTCTACTCCTTGTAGGCTCTGTCTGATCTTAAACATCCCTCTAACAAGTTCTAGCATTGGTTGTACTGTAGCTGCATGTTTTTATATCCTCCAGATAACCTCTCTCCTAGAGATGTAAATCTAGAGTAGCCTCTTTGGTCCTTCATTAACCTACTGTAGTCTAATTGCTGGTTGGACTACAATGGTACCCTGGTTCACAGGCCAGAACCAGCTGGCTCCCTCTGCCTGCTCCCTGAGTGATTTATCTGTTGCTTGAGTGGCACAAGCTGCACTAACAGCCAGGTGCTCTCCCTGCACCTGCAGGTGGCCCAGCAACCAGGAATGTGGCCTCTGGGGCAGCCGCAGCGTGGGAAGTGGTGATGTGTGGCAGGGAGAACATCTACAATCTGGTTAGGAGCATACAATTAACTGTTATGGCAGCAGCTGCAAATGATGATACACGCTGCTTTAAGTTTCAACTTTCCCTTAAACTCGGTCTGCTCTATTTTTGCAATGATACTCTTTCTTGTGGGAAGCCTTTTGAAGATGAGAGGTTGGCTATATCCCTAATGATGAGGCCATGAGACGGTATCTCAAGCATGAAGCTGTGGTTGATGTGATGAACTTCTGACCTACAAAGCTGTGTTTACTCGCAGGCAGGCTGCAGACACAGATTCTAAAGCTCTGCTTTACACTCAAACCATGGTGTAACACTGTCAGGGTTAAGTGGGGCAACCGCTGTGGCATAATTGTCTGTAATTGATAATTGTAGTTATCTATAATTATCAAGGTTCCGCCCACCACCCAATCTGCATATCAGAAGCACAGCTGACACATCTGCATGAGCTGAGTATCAGGTAGACATGTTAATTCCTTGGCAGAAAATAATTTATTTGCTATGCTAACAAGAAAAGCCTGCTGTATAATACCAAAAAAACTCTTTGTGAGGAGAGGGGCCTTTTTAAGTTACGGTATATAAAGATGAGATATGGGAAGTCTTGTCCTTCTGTGGTAGTACTCAGACTATCACACTCAGACTTGGACTCAGAGGTCTTTTCAAGGTAAATAGAACTTTTCAGCATGTGCCACTCCTGACGTTCTGCTCTGCAGATGTTCCTATCTGTGTTGGAAGCGTCCTCCCCTGCTGAAGGTCACTGCAGTGCCATTGAGCTCCGAAATAAACTCCCCGTGTCTCCTCAGGAAAATGTGGCTGTGACAGTAACTGACCCTTGGATTGTCCCATTAAAAAGCTACTAGAAACTTCATGAACTTACGTCAAACTTTGATTTCTGCACATGTGCACTACTGTCCTTTGGCACTGTAAGCCACAGAGACACAAAGACCCTCATCGGGCACTTCTGAGTGCATTAGCTGCCTGCCACTCCACTCCTTCAGGAACTCTTTCCCAGAGTCCCAAACTGCAAATCGATTCAGAGAGGCAATGTTAAAAAAACAACAAAATCACCAGGTGAAGCTTCCTCCTTCTGTGAGCAGACAGCATTCAGATTTCTAGGCACCTCTCCGTACTTCCAGCACTCAGAGAGAGGCATGGCTGGGCTCAGGGCTGGGAGAAGGGGTCTGCTAGTAGGTAAAGGATGTGCCTCATTTGCAGAGGGAGCCAGTGCTCATTTCTTGACATGTGAAACCACTGAGATATCTGAACTTGCAAGTATCAGCCTAGATCGAGGAAAATGCTGTAGGTTATTTTCAGACATTTTTATTTCTCCTCAGCTGTATGAAGGCTGATTTAAATGAAGTATAGCTTTTCTGGGTTAGCAAACTTTGATTCCGCAAATGAATATGGGAACTTTTTTTCAGTTATTGATATTAAGAGAGCATGAGAGTACAAGTAACCCAGAAACAGTCTTGTGTTAACAAAAGTGTTACATCATGGTGTCATATTTTAGCTGCTTTTCTAGCCCTGACTTTCTGAACCATCTGTTACAAGTTAAAAGGTTTGGAATGTATCTGTAGTAACAGATAATTCATATTGTTAACAGCAATCAACTGAAACAAAAAGGAAAGATGATTGGAGCATTACTTTAGAGATCCAAATTGATGTTGTTTAATTCAATAAAGTAAAATCCAGTAACCACAAAACTCATTGTGATACATTCTTCTCTCTTACACAAGAAATCACTGAATGCTTGGATTCGTCTGTTTTCTTCTAGCAGGATCCATTTTGGAGAAGAAGGGTGGTAAGATTTGGTAGTTCAGGATATGTAGGACTTCACTGTGAGTCACGAACAGGAAAGCTTTTCTCCCACCTAGCATATTTTAGTGGGTTTTTTTTTTTTTGTTTGTTTGTTTCCTCATGTTAACGCTTTGCTTTTACTCCAATCCCCTCTTATCATCAATCCAATCCGTGCTCTCGGCCCAGGTATTTTCACATCCACAGGACAGGAGAATTGCTCCTATCACTTTCACCAGCCTTTGTGGTGACATCACTTGATCTCACTGTTCCTCAGTTTCCCCAGCCCCATACAGCACAGCGTTTTCTTTATAAAGCAGTATGAACCATGCTCACGGACTACACAAGATTATCAGGCCATGGTGTGCAGCTTTTCCCTTATTCAAACATGCACAGAAAATGCTGAAGGAGAACAGCGCCTCATTTTTCATATGCAACCTAATAATAACTCAGTGCACACAGTCAAGAATTAATGGCTACAGTATAACTCCATACATATTTTAGCCACGGATAGATTGAGAATGGAACAAAAGATGGAATAAAATGGAATCTCAAAAATCTGCATAGAACAGCCTTCATGCTGTACTGTTTGGTGTCTTACAGGCATTGGACTCTTTTTTTTTTTTTATGAAAATGAATCATGGAGGAGCAGGAAGGAGAATGCAACCTGGTATCTATCTTATTTACATGACCCTAGCTATTCTGCTATTACGTTATTTTTGAGTATGATTATATTCAAACAGAACTATATGAATATGATAATTCAAAAATAATACTTTATGTTTGGTAAAACACTGACATGCACTCTCAAGACAGAATTAAAATTTTCTGTCTAGACGTAGATTTTGAAACACTTCACCAGCCTGGGTAATAAGGAACACCACCATCTCCAAACTCCTTCCCTCTCAGTATGTATGGATGGAAGAGTTAAGTGCTGTGCTTGTAAGGGATCTGGAATCCTTTTGCAGCTGCTTATCACTAGTTGGTATGTCTAGGACCTTCTACTCTTACTGTTGTAAGAAGCGGACGATCTGCTCCCAGACTGCCAAGGTCTTTTTGCTATTTGGGAAGAACAGTTCATTCTATCTCTCTTGGTAGTTTGCTCTGGCTGTCATGACTGCAAGCTGAGTTGAATCCTTCAGAATTATTACTATATTTAGCCTCACAAATCTTCTCTAGCACTAGCAAAAGAGGAGAATTAATGCTTAAAGAGAAGGAATTGTCTTCCCTGAGGTGTGCCAGTGGCATGGAGGAACTGGTATCTTTCGCAGGGCTGAAGTTATTGAACTATGCTCTCTTCTCCATTTTACAGGAAACACTGCAATCATTCTCTAAATGCTCTTTTATTTCTTTTTTTTTCCTTTTCTCTCTTTCTTTCTTTCTTTCTTTCTTTCTTTTTTTTTTTTTTTTTTTTAATGAGAGAAAGAGACAGTAGAGAGATATATTTTTTTTCCCCACTCAATAGTTCCACATCAACCTATCCAGTTGTAGAAAACCGCTTTGGGATGTTAAATGACATTCACATTATTCTTCTCAGTATCTTTGTTGTCTGCAGGGTATAACAAGCAGTGAAGCTCATGGGAAATGCATCAGTTCTCATTCCGAGTCTGGCTAACAAAGATACGAACACTTAATTAAGATTTCTTTCATCTCATGAAAATAGCTCTGAAGATCTGAGCCTGACATGAGAGCTGCCAGCAAGACTAGCAAAAGCAAAGTTTCCAGCTGTGGAAGATCTTCATTCAAGAACTTGCCCTCACAAACCACATTTCTTTAAATTGTGAGTGGGATCTAGTGCTTCTAAGTGGATGACCTAACTCAAGCAAGAAACTCTTCTGACCCACTCTAGTCCTCTGAATTCCTCTCTTGCACATGGAGAGACCTACAGGAGGGAGAGCCTCTTTGCTCTGCAGGAACGATGGAATCAGTTCAGTTCTGAATGCTGCAGAAACAGTTGGCTCAGGCTTCCCAATATGCCATCTGTGAGAAAACAGACATTTTAGGTGACTGATTCAAAAAAATGCACATTCTTTTTATATTTATTTACATACTTACATTTATATTGATTAAAATCGGTCTGGTTTAGTTACATTAAATTAGTCTGTTGATAATTAAGCATCTGTGAACAGGGAACATTAGGAGCACTGAAGAAACAAACAATAGTTTATAACAGGATCATTACAGCAGTCTTAGCAGCACTTACAACATGTTTATTCAAAAATGAAATATGCCCTAAGGAAGAAAAACGTCGATTATGGAACATGGGGGATTTAAAATAAAAAAGGTCAGTTTTAAAGCCTTTAAGTAAATCATTTCAAACAACTCAGCAACAGTTCATGTTTAAAAATAGACTAAGTAGCTCAAACAATAAAAGGTGTTAATTGTAGGATCTGGAATGCATCAACGGGAGAACTAGTCACCCTTGTTAATTTCTCATTGTTCAGAGCGAACCACCATACTGACAGATAAGGTACCTCTCGGTGTATATACACACAGCAAATATTTAAGTTCTGTGAGTGTCTCCAAACAGTTGTATACAGCCAAGAAGGAAACACTTGCAGCTGCAGTAAGGTTAAAATAAACCATGCACGTTTCTGTATCAACACAGCAGGTCTGCAAACGCAGGGCTGTGCTCGGGTCGGGGGAAGGTTACGGGTGCTCCTCTTACGGGAACAGGAGCACTCCTTATCTCTCACACATACAAAAGCAGCACTCAGGATCTATATACATTACTTCTAATCAGTGCTTAATAGCACCTGCAGCTTTCAGTGGGACTAGCAGTGTTGTCACCACACAGGACGTGGAACTCATACAGAATTTAAGCATGTGTGAACCTCTTCTGTTCGCACTTTGCTCGCGCATCCTCTCACCATGTAACGCACGACATTAATAACGAGGATTCTCTCTGGAAGAACAGCCAAAGGTTTAAGCGAATCGCAAAGTACTAACTGAATTTCAGTGGAATCTGTGGGATTTGGGTGCTCCGAGGTCCACTGAAGTGACTTCGCTGTCCTTTCAAAGGGCTGTAACAAAGGGCTGTCTGCAAAATCGGTTTCGTAATGTTTTACGGCCGCCTCCACTGGCCCTTAGGAGGAAGCACCCCAGGCACCAGCCCCACACAACACGACGCCCGCCGCCATGCCAGGCTGCCTCCGGGCCGAGGTGAGTGGGGGCGGGCGGCTCCTCCCCAAGATGGCGGACGTCGGACAGCCCCTACCGCGCGTCGCCTCAGGTGAGCTCCACCCCGCCGCCGCGCAGGTGAACGGCAGGGCGTTGCACTCGGGGCACTGCGATTGGTCCGCGGCGCCGCCAATCCGCTGTTGCCGCGGCGACGCGTAGGCCCTCCCGCGGGCACACCCCTCAGCGCCCCCGCTGTCGACACGCGATTGGTCGGAGAGGCGGTGACGCGCGAGCGGGGGTTTTACGGCCCTCAGCTGAGGGGAAGTGCTGGGAGAGAGCGAGAGGCGAGTCCGGAGGAGGGCGTCTGGCGGAGCGAGCGCGGCGGAGCAGCTGCCAGCATGACGTTCAAGCGGAGCCGCGACCGTTTTTACAGTACTCGTTGTTGTGGTTGCTGCCATGTGCGGACCGGCACCATCATTTTAGGAACCTGGTACATGGTGAGCAGCTGGCGCGGGGGGCGGCCGGGGAAGCGCCGGGGGGGGCGGCGGCGGCGGCGGCGGCGGCGGCGGCGGCGGCGGCGGCGGCGGCGGCGGCGATGGTTCCGGTTGAGCGCAGCGCGCGTGCGCGGGGCTCCGGCCGTTGCCCGGTGGTGGGCGAAGGGTGGGCAGCGCGCATGCGCCCTGCGCGGGGGGCGCCGCGTGCGGTTGGGGTGGGCGGTGTCGCGTGGGGGTCGCGGTGTGGGCGCCGGCTGTCCCGTGTGTGCGTGTCGTGTGGGAGAAGCAACGTGGGCTTCCCGAGGTGATTCAGGCCTCCCGGTGTTGCCTAGCATTCGACGTCCCTCGCCGTAGTGAGGAAAACAAAGTGCGGCGAGACTGAAGGCCGTGGCAGCTGAGCTGTTAGCGTTCCTCTTTCCCTCCTTGGGGGCTTAGAAGCAGCTTTTCAGTCAGTGCTGAGCGTGTCCTTGGCCGGGGGGAGCTGGAGGAAGGTGGAATTCGGGGCATGTGGGGAATAAAGCGATAAGAGATGTGCCTTCGAGTGGTGTGTAGCCTTTGAGAGGCAGGTGCTGTGTGAACGTTGGGCAGCTTCGGCTGTCCTTTGCCCTCAGCTCTCAGCACAGCTGCAGTGGTGAAGCTGAGGGATTAAAGACTGTTTTGAACTGAAGAGGGGAAGAAAAAAAGTAAAAACGTGAGAACAGTACCCACGGGTTAAGGCACAGAGCAGAGTTCCCTTTTATTCAGTTTCTTTCCTCATCTTTCCTTCCTCTTACCCCCGTGGGCAGGGAAAATGTGAGGATGATGTAAACAGGTTGCATCACAGCTTTTCTGTTCTCCCAGAGCTGTAACCAAATTATGTGCACCTTTATCCTTTTCCTGATGGTAAAAATGAAAAACTGAGTTCTTATGCCGTGGCATGCACACAAACTGATTCAGCAGAGGCAGAAATGGTGGGGATTGAAGTTTAGTGAGTTCATGGTCTCTCATGAGTATTGAGAGATGCCTGGCTTTTTTGCTTTTTTTTGTTTTTCCACTGTCAGCAATAGTGTTCTGGTAAATGATAGAATGACTGGAGAAAGTGGGGCAGGGTGTAAGAAATGCAGCAAAACTCTAGAAAAAGGGGCATTATTATTTTTCCAAAAAAGAACAGGGAAGATGATCTGGCACTGATTTCACTCTAACATCCGTACGAAGTCCATATAAAATAACAAAGACCTTTGTAGTAGTGAACATGTAACCTGTTGTGGAACGCTGTGAAACTTCTGGAAGTTGATCAATCTGCTGTGTCAAGTAGAAGTGTAAGCCTTTGCTCGTAAGGAGTTGTTCATGTTGTTATGAATCAAATGTACCTGACTGCATTCCACACTTTTGCTTCCTGGTAGCAGGATATTGAGAAACCCAGGATGTCAGAGGGACATGGTTCTGCTTTCTGTTTCGCCAGGCCTGGTAGCACTCATTTTTTTCCTGTGTTTCTGAGCTGCTGTTTATTCTTAGCTCATGGGTGCAACCCCTTTTCCTCCTCTCTAAATCTAAAGATATACCGCAGTGCTTATAGACTTGGGAAGGCCTTGGTGTGGTGACAAAGTGTCCTCTGGTCTTGTGTGACTGCAGGCTATTAGAAGAAAAAACAGAGTTGAATTCTGGGTAGCTGGGTGCCACTGAGGGGCTTGATTACTGTGTTTTGTTATAAACCTACCAAATCCTTTGAAAATGTTTCTTTTGGTTTCCTCTGAGATGCCAGCTGAGAAAAGGTGCTGACTGTCTGTTCTGTTAGCTGTCTGAGTTGAAATAAGATCTTAACGTGAATTCTTAGGTGGTTTGCCTTGCCTGATGCTTTAAATCAAAATATATTTCATTATTTAGCTGTGTTGACATCTAATAACAATTCAGACAGTGAAAATAAAACTAATCTTTCTGTTGAGAAACTTTTCTTTAAGAAACAAATGCATAAGTGGGTTAAGGCACGTCAGACTGTTTGGACATTTTCACTAGTAAGCCATTTATTTATAATTTCAATCTTTCAATCTTTCAGATGCTAGCTGGTGATAAATGTTTCTAAATCAATTTAATGATCTGCTTGTAAGTTATGGTGGGACAGATAGGGGGAACTTCAATGTCCTGTTTCTTAGGAGGCAGGTAGAATATGCAGTCCAGCCATAGGTTGGTGTGGCTGAGGCCTTGGCCAGCCTGCATTCAGTGGATACACTGCTCTCGTGCTGTGCACCCCTGGAGGAATTTGATAGCAACCATAAAATGGAGTCCTGTAGCAATCTCCTCCAGATGTTTTAGTAAGATAAGCGGTTGGGCCTTTCAGTACATATGCGTTGTTCTTATGTAACACTTCAGGCATTTTATCTGATTTTTTGCTTATACGAATACTTTAAAATCTCGTATCAGATGAACTCACCTCCTCATTAAAGCAGCTACGTGTTACTGTCCTGAAGGTGTACTTCTGTCAGTCCGTGGAGAGCAGCGGCCTTATCTCCAGTGCCTGCTCTTGGTGCCGTGTCACACACCCGCCTGCTCTAAGCACATGCAGTCTGTTTGCTGCTGCTGCTTCTGATAAACAGATGAGCTGTTTATGTGGAAAACTGAGTTCAGACCGTTTCTAGAGGACCATGCTTAATTTTCAGGACTAGTTTAGCTTGATTTATTCTATAATGCTCCCTGCTGTCCTGCGTAGGAAGGAAAGAAAACCTCCTATTCCCAGCTTCGTAATTGCAAACATGTGGCTTTGAAGTTTTTTTTTTCTTCCTGTAAACTTTCTTATTAGGCACAGTGCTTTCCAGAGACCGGAAACATGAACGCTGCATTGGCAAAATCGGATCAGAGTTCAATAAACAGCCTGAAAGTAACAGCATTGTTTGGGAGGGAGCGGCTGTTTCATTCTGGCATGAAACTTCAGCGATGGAATCAAAATGATGCGAGTGCTACTGGATAACAGGAGCATCAGGAGCATCTCTGGAGATGGTTCTTCTCCGAGCGCAGCTTCCAAATGTGAAGGATTATAATAGTACTGGAAGCTGTGGAATACTCTGAAAATATGCTTTTCTCAGTAGATCGGGGGGAAAAAAAAAAAAGCAGGACTAAAACGCACAGAAGAACCCACAGGCACACAGAAAAGCACTGCCAAGAAACTACCTCATTTTGTTTCTTCAAGGATGTGTTAAAGTACTGGGAAACGAAGAGAAAGCTGGGGAAGTGTAGTTGTGCAAGGCAGCTTCACTTTATTTCCCTGCTCGTGTAAGCAGATTGCAAGTAGGAATTGTTTCTAAGTCTTGTAAGCGCTCAGAGTGCTGGGGGAAACCTATATTTCATGTTTAGGCCTCCAGAGATGCAAAGCAGTGCGTGATTAGCCATTAAATATATACAGTGGAGATAAGAGCTCAGTAATTAAAAAGCTAATGCTCATTACAGTTCAATCTCTGGAGTTCTGAGCGTACAGGGAGCTGATGTTTCTGTGTGTGGAATCACAGAATGGTTGAGGTTGAAAGGGACCCCTGGAGATGTCTTTGTGCAACCTCAGTTTGTTACCTGGTTGAAATAGAAAGTCATTTATTACATTGCCAGCTACTAATGTTATTTGTGGTGAGTGGGTTCTGTTAAAACTTGGAAGATGCCTTGCAATCCAAGCTCTGGCTGTTGTTTGCGTTGACTGTGGAGCTGAAATGAGCCTTGTGGTTTTGCTGTTATCAGGCTTGTGTGGAAGAGGAATGGCTGCAGCTAAAATGCAGGCTCGGGCTTGAAAGGATACCTTATTTGGAGTTGTTTGTAACTTAATATAAATCCATATGTTGTACATGATGAATTGCTCACTGCTGTGTATGATTCAAGTAGAGCAACAGTGGAGCAGTGGAAGCCCTGCCGTATTAATTAGCAGAGGTGTTTGGGTTTTGCTCTCTGATCCAGGCTGGAGGGGGAGGAGGATCAAACCACACTGTTCACATAGCAAACCAGGGACATTCAAAAGCCAATCCGTTTTCCTTGCACTCTTTCTGGCTGAGCTCTGATACTCTGAACTTAACTGGTGATGTTACTAAGAGTTAGTTATGCTAAATCAGGACCGTGGGTAGAAAGAAAACCGAAACAGTGGCAGTTGTAGGGCTGCACGAGTGCAATGGAAAGGCATTAAAGCTTTCAATTTTAAAGACCGGACTGACAGCTAAAATTTCTTCTGCACTTCTGTGTTAATGCAAGTGCTGCTTGGCCCTTATCTGCAGGCAGATAGCCTATCGCAGCAGTTAAACTCAGCAATGAAGTCATTTCAGTCTGAACTTAATCACTATTCGAGTTAAAATGGTGATGGTGTATAAACATAAGTGAATGGGCTATGACTGAACAAGTCTCATTGTGTTTTATGAAGTAGAAAATAATGTTTCAGCAACCAGATATCCAGACTTGATGTGAGCTTATAAAGATAAATACAGCCAAAGAAGTTGTTTTCCAAAACATAGGTTGATACCTCTGATTCATTCACAGAGAGGAAGGAAATAAAAAGCTTGAAAAAGCATTGAGAGCAGAAAGGCAGAATAGAGGAGGAGGAAATGAGGGTGAGAGAAGATCACGTTCTGTACCTCCAAGTGATGGTGGAACAAAGTCAGAGCATTAAACCAGTGGCAGATCAGTAGGTCTCCTACAGGGCAAACTCGTGAGGGGAAACATCAGTGTATTGTGAAGATAGTGGTGGGCAAACTCAGTGCCAGTTCCTACCAGCTGCTGTTTCTAAGGCATAAAAGCAAGGATACCAAGGA